TATTCTTGTGAATAGTCACTGTGTTTGGGTAAAATTGATATTCCTAGCTAAGTTAAAGTACTATAATTCTATCTTATTGCTTTTAACTCCATTTTCATTAAATCAAACAAGATATTAAGGTTGACATAAATGGAAAAGTTTGAAACTCTTAACGAGGTCACGATATTTTTCATTTGAATTATTTTGAGATTAACCTCTTTTGATCAAAGTTCTTTCAATTAGTTTTCCATAAGCTATATGTTTCGTGGGAGTTCTTTTATTGAGAAAATGCTTCAAGTTTTTTTTCTTCAAAGATTGTATACGACCCGAATTAGGGAAAAGTTTTTTTTAATTAATTTTTTTTATTTTTTTATTTATAAATATCGAGTCAAAGGTTGAATTAATCCTCTCTTACTCAGGTTCAATCATGCATGGTAAAGATCGACCAATCTCATTTTTTTTCCTCCATCGGTGAGAAGGAAAAAAAGTTAAAGAGAAAGTGTAAATACTTATAAAAAAAAACTTTTTTCGTCTATTTTATTTTCAGTTTAATAAAAAGCACTTTTACTTTTACCCATTTTTCTTCTTCTTATTCAAAGACAATTTAATTAAAGGAATACGTATTGATCCATATTCATTCCCCCGAACCTTACCATTATTGCTCCGAGATCTTTTAGATAATATTTAATTTTAAATTTTGTCGATAAAAAACATAGTTGAAAGAAAGCATTTTTAAAGTATTGTCAACGAAAATTAATCACAAAAAAGAATACTTCACATTAATAAAATAAGAAAAATAAATAATTAATTAAAAGAACATAAACATTTTGCCACATGCATTAATGGTGGAATGTAGTAATCAAGCGAGGCAACAATCTTGACCTAATAAGAAGGCATGATGAGTTAAGCACGTCCCACTCATTATTGTGCAAGTTTATTTATATCACCACTTATTAACAGGCAAGAACAATTTCTTTGTTTGCAAGCATATCATATGGCCCTGGCTACCATTGATTTTGACATCTCCCAACCTACCAACCGCTTTTTTTTCTTTTTCTTTTTTTCTTTTTTCAACAATGAAAGCAAATCAAACGTCATTGCAATTGCATGGTTATGTAATTTAATTACTAATTTGCTGCGACAAATTCTTTTGTTCCTTCTGCAAAACTTTCCGTGGTGCTGGCAATATGATAAGTTGGAGGAGTTTTGAAGCGAAGAAGACCATTTTATTAATATAGTGTACGCACATAGAGTTTAGCCACATTTTCAAGGAACCCTATATGCTCATATATATTTTTTTGGTTTGGATGCATTTTGTGACTGAAGCAACTCACCAACCCATTTCGCTTTTCCACACTCTACCTAATATCATACGGCTGGTAAGTTCTTAGAGTTTTCTTTTTCTCCCTTATTTATTGAATATAGCAAAAAAATATTTGTTATTTGCAGCAAATAATTTAGTATACCGTCAAAACTTGTTGTAAGTGATGCATGAGTAAAACCTGCCATGAAGACGAATGGATATGTATCACTGTCACTCTCATTAAGAATTGACACAAAAATTGCAGCAGCAAAAGGCAAGGTAGATAAATAACAACGTGACGTTTGTAAAAGTATTATGAGTCGTTCATGATTTTACGGTTCAAAAGTTATACAAGTTTGAACAAGGTCAAATTGTGGCAAATGGCAAATTATTCATGTCCTTGGAAGGAAAAAGTTATGCGTATCAGATAATTATTTTAGGTTTCAGACCGGACAAAGTATACCAACATGGAAAAAATAGAGACATACGACGACATAATCGTTTCAATTTAGGTACCTAACCTAAATAGCTTTATTAGGAGATCGATTTTGACAGTTACTGTTTTTTTCCTCCCCCGTTCAATTAGTTTAGCACCATCCCCTCCTAATTTTAGAAAAGGATCACAAATTTACAATATACGCGTCAATTAGGAAAAAACAAAAAATACGGAAATTTCCACAACTGCTGTAATTGTGAGAAATGGAAATTGAGTAAAAGTGTAGGAAAGACTACAGTTACGGTGTTGGATACAAATTAAGCAAGGAAACAAATTACACAAAAGAAAAGACAGGACAAAAAAGGTCCTAGAAAAAAAAAAAAAAGAACTAATCAAGTTCGTTGTCGTCATATATTGTTTATTTGATTTTGCTTAGAATGTCCGCAACAGTCATTTTTCTTACCGTTTTACTCTCGAGAAACTGCAGGAAAATAATCCTTTACGATGGAAGAAAATCAAATTAAAAAATCTAAAGTTGTCAAAATGGATTTATCGGTCTATTTGCTCTATCACGGATAGATCAATAAGTGAATTAATTCGATCCGATTTATCTTCTAATGAATTAATATTAATTATAAATTAGTAATTTGATTCACTTAGGGGGGTGTATTGGATTAGGATTTTAAAGGATTTTTTTAGTTAAAAAAAATCCTGCGGATTTTAAAAGACTTTGCAGGATTTTCATGACTTTTAAGATTTTGCAAGATTCTACAAGACTTAAAATCAGAATTTTAATGGATTCTGCAAGACTTTTAAATTAGGATTTTAATGGATTCTGTGGGATTTTGTAGAGTTTTGACATTTGATAAGATTTAAAAAAAATTATACATTCAAATTTAAAAAGAGTCAAAGATAAAAATAATAAATAAAAAAAATAATGTCTAGATAAATAATAATAATAATTCTCTATAATATTCTATCCTCTTTTTATAGCATCCACTATCAATTGTAACAATTCATCGGAATCATCCTTAATCCAAGCTTCATAGTTTTCTTTCTCTTTTCATTTTTCTTTATTATTTCCTTGTGAATCTCCCATTTGAATTACTAAAACAATATATGTTAAAAAATAGTTATATAAATAATTACGGATAATAGACAAAATCAATAAAATTATATTATTATTTTTAGAAGCACACCATCATACAAGATCGAATATATTTTTGCTATCCAAATGGATCAAATACCTCAGTTATTATAAAAAAAAATGTAAAAACGAAAATATAGAAACATAAGATAATTTTTTATATAAAAAAATTAGTATATTCGATACTGAAAAAATATTTAGATATATAATTTTTTTTATATAAACAGAAGTATTTAGATATAGAGAAAATATATATATATATATATATATATGATAATTTTTAACGATATTTATAAATATAAATTATTCTAACAAATATTTTAACAATATTTTCTTTTTTAAAAAATAAGTTAATGAAGGCATAAATCCTAAACCCTAAAAAATTAGATATTGCAATGTCTTATGTTAATTTTCTTTTTTTAAAATATAAAAAATCTTAATTTCATAATATAAAAATAAAAAAGAAAAATTCATAGTAAAAAAAATAAAATAATTGTTGAGTCATAAAAGGAGGAGGGATAAGAGTAACAAATTCAAGGGAAAGAGAGAATTCGCAATTTTTATGCTAAGAGGGTTCTTCCCCCTACTAAGATCCATTTTTATCTCATTCTACTCACAAAAACCCTAACAAATTCATCTTTTATATATATATATATATATATATATATATATATATTGTTGAGATTATGATATCAATTTCATCTTTCACCTTTTTCTTTTCTTAACGTGTGTCATAAAAAAAATTACCACTTAAAAGTTAAAATTTCAAGTATTTTTTTGTGTTATATAAAGGAACAAATTCAACTACATAGAATAAAATAAAGTAAGTCAATTAAAGAGAACGAACAGAAAAATAAAACAAGTCAATGACACTATCATTTACATATTAGAGTTTCACAAAATAGGAGAATGGTATGAGAATAGTATTATATATGAGCAATGAACAATAGTGTAGTATTATTAGTAGAGAAAAAATGGAGAAGACAGGAGCATAGAAAAAAAAGATGAAAAACTCACTTGAAAATTCTTAAAACACTTGAAAAATCATTTCAAACAATCCTTCAAAATCCGATGGGTTTGGATGAGATTGTTTTATGAATCTGGTATTTATAGATAACACTAGAAAGTCTTTCAAAATCCCTCTCACACAACAATCCTTTAAAATCCTTAAATTTTTGAATACCAATGGATTGTTTTTAAGTTGTAAAAAATCTCAAATGAACACCAGTGGATTTTAATGGACTCTTTAAAAAATCCTAAAAATCCAGATTGAATACCACTGGATTGTTTTTAAGTGACATAAAATCCTGATTGAATACCAATGGATTTTTTTACTCAAAAAAAGTCTTTTAAAATCCTACGAAATCCTAAACCCTAAACCCTAAACCCTAAACCCTAAACCCTAAACCCTAAACCCTAAACCCTAAACCCTAAACCCCCATTAATTTAAAAAAAAAATAATTATTTTGTTTAATGTTTAGTCATATTTATTATTTTTTTTAAAATATCCAATCACATATTTTTCTTCTTCTATTTTTTCTTTTTCTTCCACAAAAATAGGTCTCTGACCCAATAATTAATCCTTCCAATATAACATTCTGCTGAATGAATAAGTGAATTATAAATTTTTAATTTTTTTTGAGTGAGCTGTGAGTTTATAGGATTTATATATATATATATATATATATATATATATATATATTTTATTTATGTGACTAGGTTTGTGAGCCAGGATTTACTAAATACTAAACCCTTAACTTTTTTTTTTTTTTGAACGGTAAATATTAATGGTTAGTTTGTTAGTTGTTAGTGGGGAAATTCGAATCCTTAATTTGTATAAGTCCAATTCTTAATGAATTGGATTAAATTTTGAACGATATTACAATTTACAAATTCTTTTAAATTTAATTTGACTTGAACCCATGATAGGTAAAATTGGCTCAGCGGTCGTGACCCATTTGACGGGTTAAAAAAAGACCCGCTTGTACCGTTGACCCCTGTATTCAATATACGTGCGCATCTATTTTCGCAATTATTAGTATTTATTAGGATTAAAAATGGAATTATAAAACTAAAAAGTCGTATTTCTGTGTATTTAAGTTAATCGTGTCTGAATGGGGAAGTTGTTGGATAATTAAAAAAAGAAAAGAAAAAAAAAACGGGTTTATCCGTAAACCCAAAGAAATGTTGGATGATTAAATCAGAGCAGCAGCAACCAAAAGCAAAGTCACCACAATCTCTAACCTTCAAATTCAAAGCAATCTATTGCTACCAACACTAGAGCTTCAACTCGCAGACAGTTTTTTGTTTGACGCCGAAAATGAAGCTATCGGCGTTGCAGCAGAGCTACCTCACGCGCCGGGCCAACAGCTTCAGAGGATCGGCGCAGCTCGATTCCTCCGGCGACGCCGCGGTGAAGTCGCCGGCGGCCATTTTTTGG